CAAATGTTGAAAACGTAGTGCAGAGTCAAAGAAAGTTTACTCCAACATGAGAATATTCGAGTAGTATGTTTTGCACTCATCTGGTGTGTCCCAAATAGGATGCCGCAATGTTCCAGAAGTTAAGAAATCGTCCAAATCACCCTCCACTTCCATCTCCATCTTTAGTTTGCGGCGAGATGGACGTCTCCAATGGGAAGCGTCCATATCAACTACATCACTGCCGCCTCCGCCTCTTTTGAAAAGAACAGACGGTGTCTTTCCCAATCCCATTCCGTAGCGACATGGATGGTGGAGCACTCCATCAAACACTCTTCTGGGCACCTCTGACACCATGACCGGGCTGACTCGTGGAAGAACGTCGATATGAAATGGAGTTTCTGAGTGGGAGGCGCGTCCTTCGTGCGTACGAGAAGAAAGCTCACCCGAAATTGGGGTCCGACGTGGAACAGCAGTCGTCTGTACGCAAAAAACGAAAGTCATAATTAAATCCAGTAGTACTAAAATTCTGCTGCGAGGTTTGAATTCAGTCTTCGTGCCGGTCAACAGCGTAGCTCCTTTGAATCATAGAGAATAACCTCTGATTACATCTTATGCATGCGCATATCGAGACATGACTTCAAAGGATTCATGTGTGCAGAACTCGAGAGCATTCAATTCAAATAAAATCCCTAAAAATAAGTAGCCGCACAGATCATTTATAAGTTACTTCCAAAAGGCATACTAAAGCTGCTAGTTACTGATAAATTCGTAGGGTCAAATCGGCACTAAACCGCTGACGAAGGTAACAGCATAAAGTGCATAACTTTGGCCGAGATGGTAGCGAAGATAGCAAAGAGGTTGTTACTAGATGATTTTAAAGCGCAACGAAATACAATTAAATGAGCTACTTAATGCCGAACACAGAAATACATTGCAAAAAGTTTGCAGAGGACTTTTGAACACCTCAATTGCTTAATTGTAAGGTCTGCGTTTAACAAGTTAAAGGCATTAAACTTACCGAGTCAGTTTTTGAAAAACTAGTATGGGTGCATAGCGGACTCCGAAGTCTGGTTGTGGTAGGTGATTGGCGAGTTTCCCGACAGGCATTGCTAGCATCCTGCAGCATCTTTAACACTTCCCAGCTAATGGTGGTCTTAAAATTCTGCAGACGCTGAACCACAGTGTCCAGAAATCGCGCATTCTTATCGCCGTAGGTCGCCTCAGGGTCAATGAAACACGGCTCCGCAGCCAACCACTCTGAGATGATTTCCACAGCCTGGAAAATGACACGGTCCCTTTTCTCGTTGTCCATCGTTGTTGGTGATCGTGATGCTACTGCTGTGGTGGATTTTCGACTCTGAAAACACGTCGATGGCGGATTTGGGAACGTTGGAAGTTTGGGAGGTGGAAGCGCTAGTGCCTCATCGGATGAAAGAGTATCGCTAAATAG